TAAACTAAAATTTCTACAAAACAAACCATGGCAAACTAATGGCGCACTACTCCCAGTGTAAAACACGAGTCTTAACTTTCATTAGCAGAAACAAGGACTCGTTGCCCGGTGGTGTCATCACATTGCCCACTCAGGATGGAGTGTGTTGATGCTTTTTCCACAAGACAGTCCATCGCGAATGGATGATGTGCAGACAATTTAAAACACAATAAGTTGAATACATCAAGTGCCGCCACTGAATCGCGAAAGCCTCAGACGCCACTTATATAGCGCTTCTAACCCCAGCCTGTTTACATGATCAATCATCGTCCCTCCAACAACTTCCTCTTATGATCTCTGTAGCTTGCAGTGCCGTTTCAAGCACTGATGTGATAGTGATAGAAAAGTTAGATCCGTAGAATCATAACCTCACCACGACTGACAGTGCTATAAAAGAATTGACTGTTTCACTTAATTTAGCACTTCTGAGTTCGCTCTATAGCGAACTGTGGAATTAATTTGATATTGATGGAAACACCTGAAGCATCTGAAACAAAGTACAGATTTTATGGTATCAAAGTTACTACTGTTGTTTTTTTGTTGGTTGAGGTGACCTCTTGTTGGTGGCATTGAGCAGATTCCTCGTGGTATTGATTAGTTTCTCCATAACTGTTTCCAAAAAGTTGTTTTACTCAATAGTTATTATCAGTTCACTTCCCCTAGTTTCTCAGGCGACAACGTGCCATAAGTTCTATCTCTCAGTTCTAACTTTTCATTTCCGTCCAACACTAATCACATATCACTGTATTCGTACCTTGAAGTCCGGCTTGAGGCATCTGGACAGCAGCCAATTGCCTGTTCGAAGGTCCAGACTGGTGGAGCAAGCCGTGGTAGATCAGGTGAGATTATTCGTGTAACTAACTGTTTAATGCAGTTTGCTACCATTCAACGATCTTTTGTCGTTTAGGTCATTTTGATTAGTTTTTTATGCTTGCTCTCCGTGGTCCATCGACATCAGCCGCTAGGGCATTTTTCACTTCCGCCTTACGTCTGTCTGCCAAGTGTAAGTTTCCAACCATTGACTGTTTGTGTAGCTTTACTGTTTTCTAACAGGTAAGTAACAGTTTAAGCTCTGTAGTTTCGTCTTTTATTGCTTATGGCTAAAAGTGACTGATCTGCCTTTGATGCGACAGATTTTAAAACTGCTTCATTTTTGTGAGGCCTTATATCGAGTTACTGTTACTGCAGTAAATAAGGACAATATTAGGCGCAAGAAGTCGTCAGAAGTTCTTACTTTTTAATACGAGTTAGAGAGCTATAATTAGAATAGTGTCTAAATGCAAATAAAAGGGATGGTAAATTTTAATAAAGGTCTGTGTTGAAAGCCACATTTTTTTAGATTAAGTAAGATTATTGTTCTAATTAGTGAAGTAAACCTCCAAAAGAAGTGTCGTTGAACTAGATAATTTACAATTCCTCTGTAACAAAAGTCTTTCGAAAGATTTTATGGTTCACGACTTTTAAAGACGTACTTTTCATTTATGGTTATTATATTAATGTTTTTTCACCATTTGCCTGAAAAACATGGCACGATTATACTTCCAGAGTAGCGTTGGTTATCTACGGTGCTCGACTCTTTTTGCTTGGGAAATCTAGTTTTTCAATTAGTTTCAGTTTTTTGTGTATATATTAGCTGCACATATCTTCATCGATCTTCAGTCGTAATTAGGAATTTTTGAACAGAACTTTGAAGCCTTGGACGTTTTCACAGCCAAGTGAGGTACAATGTGAAAATTTTTTAGAATGAAAAGTAGCACTCAGAAAATCAAAGCTATACCTTGTCATTCGTGTAATTCGTTTCGCATCAGTTTTTTCTCAAACCTTTTCATGTAAATTTAAAGCCTTATTAGTAAACCACCGTTTGCTTAACTTTTTAGCGAACTACATACGAAAGGGAGTTTTATAAGTCGTTTGGATGATGCTTCAGAAGACATTCATACACATCTATGGGAATAGTACGGAAGAATTTTATTGTTCAAACAGAGAAGCTGTAAACCAGCTTTTTGAGCTACATTTGTTAGTTTTCAGCGTTGGCTAGCTTAGTCTTTTCCAAATAGGCTTATAACTCCTTCTTCAACATTGTAAGTTAGAGTCACATCCGACGATCTTTAGAAGCATGCAGTTGCTGTGTGTTTGGTTCAAGAAAAGAAGTAGCCATTTCTTTAATTAGGAAAAATTTTTAGTTGATATTAAAGTAGAAGGGAATACCACGATTGTTCAAGTTGTTAAAGTTCCGGAAGACGAAAGCAAGAAAGTTCTGGAACATAATGATGAACAATGTTCATTCTGTACCTGCACTTTACCAACTAAAGTAAGAGTTTCTGAGGTTATATTCATTCATCTATTTTCTTTTGAGAACCGAAAGGTCCTCTTTCTTAGTGATAAAAGTTACGACAGAGGGAGTGACAATGATTATCAGTGAAAGATATAAACCTTTTATTTCAGCTGCTTTTTAAGTACAGTTTGCAGCTCTGGTCTTTAGTTAGAGGTTTCTGCAGTAAAACCTCAAGTTTTAAGTCAACTCATATAAGGAATTCTAGGTTAAATATTCTGACGTTCTTATACTAGAACAGTTTATGCGTGAAGATGGCACAGTTTTGCCGAAACAAGTTACAGGTCTTTGTTCAAAACAGCAGCGAAGAATCGAGCGTTGCGTTATGCAGGTTTGTGATTGCCTGGTTCGTGTAAATTTTGTAGGGGCCTATGCCGTGCACTGTAATTTTGAATTTTGCCAAGGTTAACTGCTACTAGGTTTATTTCATCGTGCAAAATTCTGAAGCTGCTAGTATGGGGGAAGTATTGAGTACAGTTTTTTGTTTGTGAAATATTTTATTTATGTTTCCTTTCATCTCTTTTCGTCTGTTTTCGTGGTTCCAAATTTAAGAAAGCCAATTATTTAGCTGTTTACAGAACTTATGTCTGTAATGCCCTTTTTTAATGACACTTTCTAAAACTAATTGTTCTACATTTATTCAGGCACATTGGGCCGGACTTTTTCCAGACAGAACAGTTGCTGATTTCGATCGTGCCGGTTATAAACGATTTAACAGGTGATGACACTTCTGATGTATTTGCTTCTCTCTGCAACTTACTAACATTTTCTTAATTTATTTTTCGGTTTTGAAATAAAGTCATTTGTTACAGATATTGGGATGATGATATGGATATGTATAAGGTGGAACAAAAAATAGAAGTTGGTAGCTGGAGATATATTAAACGTTATAAGTCACGTTGTGACGTGAAGAATGAGAATAAGGTTTTGTCAAAGAAATGAGTTCAGTTTAGTAGCTCTATTTCTAGCTGAGATGCTTCATTATTTGTGCTACTGATGATATTATGACCGCTAAGTTGGTGAAGGATCACAATTTGTTGTAATTTTGCTACATCGACCATGTGATGTTTTTGTGCTGTGACTAGATGTTTCTTCTTTGGTTTTTTTTTTGTGAAGTGCCTGGTGGCATTTTTCGATCTTTTCTCTTGGAACTGTTTTTGAGGCAAAATCGTCAAGATTCAGTAGTTTCGTTGCGTCGTTAGATTTTTTT